GCGGGCGTTTTCGGTTTCCCGCGACGGGCAAAGCCGTCCGCCGCTGCCTAGAGGCCACGGTAAATCGTGGCTTAACCGCGGCGGGCGGCTTTGCCGCGCTGTTAATTGATGTTTTCCGCATGGCGGGCTCTTCAGGATGCCCGCCGCGGTTAATAGTTAAAAACAAAAAAAAACCCGGGAGCCCGTCGGCGAGCCCATTCTCGAGCTCACCGACGAGCCCGTTTCAACCCAATACCAGCGCCACCGCACCTCGCCGGATCCGCGCGGGGTCTCCTCCTCGCCGTATCCGCCGCGAGAGAGGTCATCTCGCCGGATCCGCGGCTGGGGAGGACGACCTCGCGGATCTACGGCCAGGGAGTGCAGATCGACCGGATCTGCGGCTGTGGACGAAGAGGAGGTCGGACCCGCGCCGTGGACGACGAGGGCGCTGGATCCGCCGTGAGGCCATGGAGGAGGCTGTCGTCGTCGATCCGCCGCCGGGACGCCTCGATCCGCCGTCGGGACGCCTCGATCCGCCGTCGGGAGCCTTGATCCGTCGCCGGGACACCTCGATCCGGCCTTGGAGGAGGATGTCGTCGTCGATCCGCCGCCGGGAGCCTCGATCCGTCATTTGGGAGACTCGATCCAGCCTTTGAGGAGGCTGTCATCGTCGATCCGCCTTGGGACGCTTTGGTCGCTTGGACGAGGTCGCCATTGCCGTCGCGCCAGCTATCGCCGAGCCGGATCCGCCTTCCTTCCTGGCCGTGGCAAGCAGCCACGCCGCGCCGCTCTCCGCCTGGCCTCGCGCCTCGGGCCACGCCGAGAGCCGGCCATGCCAGGCTATGCCTCCTCTCCGAACACCGCGCCTCCGGCCGACGAGGCTGAGCGCCGCAGACTTTCAAGGCCGAGAGAGGCCACTACAATGAGCTCCACCACCTCGCCAAGAGAGTGAGGGAGGAAGAGAGAGTGAGAGGTGAGGAGGAGGGAGACAGGAGTGGAAGGAGAGGGTGCGGTGAGATGGGAGGAGAGGAGTGAGGGAGGGCGAGCTCCACCACAGCGCAAGAGTCCTTCAAGCCAGCGTCCATCTCATGGCGAGTGGGAGGGAGAGGGTGCGGTGGTCAAGGTGGGTGAAACCCTAACACCTCCCTTTTATATGAAGCCCAGTGAGATCGGCTGATTTGGGCTCAAAATTGGGCTAAGATTTTACGTGGACGGGCCTTATAGGATGCCCGCCACGGTAAATCGATTTACCGTGGCGAGCATCTTAAGACGTCGCCACGGTAAATGCCCTATTTACCGTAAGCGGGCATTTTAAGGCGCGCCCGCCATTGTAAATCGATTTACCGTGGCGGGCTAAAGTGCCCGCCACGGTAAATAAAAAATGCCCGCCGCGGTAAATCATGGCATCTACCGCAGCGGGCAAAAATAGGTGACCGCCACGGAGTGCAAAAATGCAACACTGCGCATAATCGTTTGTGTAGTAGTGCAAAAAGCTTAAAAGCGCCTCATGTTTTATTTACTAAGCCTAAGTTGGTAAGGTTATGCTTAGCACCACCAAGTGATTAGAAATAATTAACATCAAGATTATACATAACCCAAACCATCCATTGAACCAATTAATAAAAAAGGATCCAAGCCGCTCGTGACTATAAGCACGACCGATATATCAATTTTATTTGACTCTGCAAAGTTTGTACAATATTACCAATGAGTCATGATACCCATCTGCCAAGGATTTGTCAATCTGTCCAACACTTCCAAGGTGAGAAGGCAAGGAATCACTACAAAGCTTTTCTCAAGTCGTTCTAATAAGTTGCATATGCTAAGATTTCAACCATCTAGCCATATGGAGCCCTCCTTCAAGAGTGGCACACATGGTCACGGTATAGCACGCACCATCGTAGGACAAGACCCATCCCGACTAGTGTCCCTCTCTTGCCCTTTTGGTAAGATGTGGACAAACTAGAACTAATCAAGGTACTAGGCTAAGACCAGAGACATGTAGTTCTTCTCATGGTTATACGATAAATTCTAGGGTGACCGTTTTAAGATTTAGTCCCTTAGGGAGGGTAGGAGGGTAGACTAGAGCACTTAAAAAGACCCAATCCTCTAACCCCTTAGCCATGTTTTTAAAAGGCGTCATTTTAACATTCATTTCTATGAGTCATGATTCAAGTTAAACACGTAACAAAGTAGGGAACACATCTATTAACCGATCGATCTCATCAGAACCCTACCCAAAGTTATATAAAGAGGGTTAGAAACCCCATCGATAGTCTATTCCTTTGATTTCTAGCGCATAGTTTACATCAAGATCATCAGAATCGAAAGCAGCATACGAATATAGAGAGATCCACTTTAAACTGGACATACGGTACAACGTACATGAACCAATATAATCTATGTGATCTTGTGTGCTACCCATCTGATTCCCTGTTCGCTTCTCTTATAATCCGTACTTTTCAGCTTATTTTTTTCAGCTGGAACAGTATTTTTCTCTCACAACAAATCAGTCGGAACAGTGTTTCGGCTTGTTTTTTTCATCGAAACGAACGGGGCCATATTGTATCTTGTGAGAAATGTGCTGACAGTAATATTGAAAGTAAAATATTCGACAGCAACCTCTACTTAAATGTGATAATAAAGTATATAAAAAAGCGAAAATAGATGTCACTGACGGTTGAAGCCACCGAATCAGTATTGACGCCCACGATATCACTATTATCGTCTGTCTATCCACGCGGTGGTCCTTATGCTATTAATGTCAGGACTAGCTTTGAACTAGCAGTGATAGGCGACTGCTGATTACCCATTACTGGACTCAATTATAGCAGTGATGCGGAATTAGATTTGACGATGATTGCCGGATCTGGACTAGTGAGAGATGTGTGGAGGCGTGGAGCCAAGAGTCCATAGCAGTATACATGCATTTCATTCATTAAAAAACAATAATCTACAAATACATATTTTTGAAAGTTGATTTTTATACGTCAACCCACCAATTCTAGCTTTTCAAAATCAAAAGCAAAATAAAGCCCAAACAAAATGTTATATATATGGACGAAGCAAAGAGTTCAACTAGTGCATTTTATATAGGTATAATAAAGAAAGATTGAGCACTATATATTCGCGACAAGCCAACTACTAACAAGATATATTTATTCTCCCTAGGTAAGCATGGGCTGAACGCGGCCAACGGACAACTCCAACTGCAGCGTTTTTTTTAAACGAATCAGGATTATATTAAAAATGAGATAAGTCTAGAGTGGGCACAAACGATACAATAAGACGACCACAACAACACAACAAAGCAACAAAGAGACCTCTAACAACAGCGACCGGTTGGAAAGGGATCTCAACACGCGTCACACAACACTACCAGACTCACCAACTAAACACCACTAATCTGGCACTCCACAAGCACAACACCACTGATAGCCAGGCACCACGCAACGCCACAAAGAACCGAACGACAAAGCCGTCAAGACAAAAAGCCATCGTCACCGCCAGTGGCGGATGCACGATGCGGGATAAGGGGGGGCTAAAACAATAGAGATGTTGATTTGCATGAAGATTTAATGGTGAAATCAAGCTTTTGCTACAATGATCAGGCTTGAAATCAAGACATTAGGGGGGGCTGGAGCCCCCCTAGCCCCCCCTTTGGATCCGCCACTGGTCACCGCCACACCGTTGTTGCCGGCGATGTCCTGTGCCAAGCTGTCAGCCTTGCTAAGCAAAACTAGTCGCCGCAGTCCGCTGCGGAGCCGTAGCATACGCCTTCGGATCGCTTGCGCCACCTCATGGCGTTGTCCCGCACCATACTAGCCTCTGCCATGCAGGACTAGCTGCTGCCGTTGCAAGCCGCCAAGCCAAAAACATAAGCAACTGCCTCAAGCCTTCGCCATACTGATCATGTCCACCGAGATCCAGCCGCATACATCGTAGCACTTGGGAACCAAGCCGCCTTGTCGAAGAAAGCAGAAGTATCAGTCAGGTCCTCCAATAGCCATGAGAAGCTTCACCGCACAGGCCACTTCGGCAACGAGCTTCTGCTGGCCACCTCGTTCCTCGTCCGCCGAGGACACCTGCCTCTTCAGTAGTCGACTTGGTCTCCACCACCACGACACCAACTGCCGGCAGCTGCCACGCCACCGGTCGGAGCACCGCCACCAGAAATCCTCCACTTCGTGGTACCAACGTGTCAGGGGATGGCCAAACTGAGAAGCCGGTCGCCACTCCTCCAATGCCTGTGGCCATCATCCACACCAGTAAGCAGCATGTATGGGTAGCACCAACGCCGTCATGCCGGCTCGCTCACTTGCGAGGCTCACGTGCCTCTCCATAGCCAGCACGCCCGCCCACGCCGCACCGAGGCCTGCCTCCACGCAGCCCAGGTGCAGCCTCCTCAACGCCGTCGCCGCGCAGCCCACTCGCTGCCTCCATGCCGTTGCCGCCACGCGCAGCACCTGTGAGGTATCCTCACCGTCATCTCGCTCGTGCACCACCACCAAGAGGCCTCCGACCAGATGCATGCACGGGGACGATAGATCGGGCTGGGAAGACACCGGATCCGCCCGCATCTGGGCTGGATTCGCGCCGCCGGAACCCACCTCCGCCGCCCACACAGGTGCCCTATGGGAGAGAGGGAGGGGGGAAGAACGCCCAGCCGCCACCATCCTTGCCCTCCGCCGGACACCGGCATCGAGCTCCGGCGGCGGCCAGGGGAGGCGCGAGGGAGGGAGCCGGCCGGCGGCGGAGAAAAGGCGCCGCCCGAGTCGCCCCTTGGAAGAGAGCGACGCGGGGGCCTGTTACTACAGCGTTGAAGATACTGATGGTTCTAGGCCTGGGCGTCTATACCTTCCTCATCTGAGAGACTATCTTTTGACCCGGCCACATGACCGGCCGTTTCCTCGCAGCTGCAAGCCATGGTTGGTCGCCAGCAGTCCGCAGGGATGGCAAAGCACCCTGCACCCGTGGACCCTTGGCCTATACAATTGCACCCTACAGTTCGTCCCCTTTTGCTACTTCTCGGAAGAAATGGAACATGCCACACAGTTTTGGGCACCTTCCCTGCTCCCAAGCCTGTCGCTTGCGGCGAATTCCGGCGAGCATACGCAAGCACGCAATCATCATTCCACTAAACGCGGTCACTTTTGTCATGCCGCCATGCATGGATCAATCCTGGAAATATTTTAGCATCGCAACCGCGTGCCGAATTGATGGTGCACACAACAGCAGCCATAGACAGTAGTGGCCAAGTGCTAAACTAAACCATTCAAATGGACATGCTGCGGTCAGCCGGTCAAACGAGCACGGAGCACCCAATCCAAGCCCATGCCGAACAAAAGTCCGCGAGCTTATCAGTAAAAAAAAGAGAGTCGAGACTATAAATACTCCCTTCCCTTCGCATATCCAACCAGTCCCCTCACATCCGTCCCAGCAATCTCAATCTCAGAGGGTGTTTGGTTCCACGGATTAAACTTTAGTTTCTATAACATCGAATGTTTGACACTTAATTTAGAGTATTAAATATAGACTAATAATAAAATTAATTGCATAAATTGAGATTAATTTGCGAGACGAATCTATTAAGTCTAATTAGTCCATTATTTGATAATACGGTGCTACAGTAAATATATGTTAATGATAGATTGATTAGGCTTAATAAATTCATCTCGTAAATTAGTCTCCATCTGTGTAATTAGTTTTATAATTAACTCATATTTAGTCCTCCTAATTAACATTTGAAACGTCCGATGTGACAGGGACTAAACTTAGACCAAGCACCCCCTCGAGAGCACCCACATCACCTACGAGACGACGCTGTCAGAGTAGCCTCCTAATTAGCATCCGAATGTCCGACGTGACAGGGACTAAACTTTAGTCTAATGATTTAACCCCTCGAGAGCACCCACAGCGCCTACGAGAGACGGCACGCTGTCAGAGTAGCGAGCAGGTAGCCCTCTGCCCTCTCCAGTGATATCGTAGCAGCTCGATCGGCGTCGTGCCAGCGCGTGCGCATGGCGGCTTCCTCTCGCATCTCGTCTCCGGCGTGGCTGTTATTAGCCGCGCACTGCGCTCTCCTGCTCGCCCTGGCTGGAGCCGCCCGTGGCCACTCTCCGAGTGCCGGCGCGGCGCTGAGCTCCGCGTTCTACGACGAGTCGTGCCCCGGCGCTCCCGTCCGTCGCGTCATCCAGGACGCGCGCGTCTCCGACCCGCGCATCCCGGCCAGTCTCGTCCGCCTCCACTTTCCATGACTGCTTCGTCAACGTACGTGAGCTGATCACATCAATAGTGTTCGTGTAGAATGTTACGCATGTACGCGCCCAGCACACCTAGATGACTTGCATCATCTGACATATGAATGAACGTCTAATAATGTTGGCTCTCAGGGTTGCGATGGCTCCCTTCTTCTGGACGACGATCTCCCGGCGATCCAGACGGAGAAGCACGTGCCAGCGAACAACAACTAGGCGCGCGGCTTCCCGGTGGTCGACGGCATCAAGCGCGCGCTGGAGGAAGCCTGCCCGGGCATCGTCTCCTGCGCTGATATCCTTGCCTCGCAGCCGAGATCTCCGTTGAACTCGTAAGCGTCTCCGATCCTCTATATCCTCTTGCATTGAAACTATACCTCTAGCTTCTCGCCTGAACTCAACTGACAGAAAAGAATCGTGCACGGACGAACTGGGCGCAGGCTGGAGGACCACGCTGGAGGGTGCTTCTTGGCCGCCGAGACGGCACGACGACCAACGTCCAAAGCGCTAACAACCTTCCCAGCCCTTTCGACTCCCTTGCCAAGCTCCAGGAGAAGTTCAGAAACGTCAACCTGGACAACACTGATCTCGTCGCCCTCCAAGGTAACTACACATACTGAATAATTCATAGTACATTTCAGCAATATATAATTTGTACGTACAGTTCAAACTTGCTAAGTTTTCATACGGCGTGTGCACACTGATGATATGAATAACAAATTTCTACTCCAGGAGCGCACACATTCGGCGAAGTCCAGTGCCAGTTCACGCGTCACAACTGTTCGGCGGGGCAACCACAGGGTGCACTAGAGAACCTGGGCCAAGTTACACCCACCGTGTTTGACAACAAGTATTATGGCAACCTCTTGCACAGTCAAGCGCAGCTGCCGGCCGACCAGGTCATGCTATCTGACCCTACGGCGCCGACAACCACTGCACCCGTTGTTCACCGGTTCGCGAGCAACCAAAAGGATTTCTTCACGAACTTTGTGGCATCCATGATTAAGATGGGCAACATCGCCCCGCTGACCGGAAAGGATGGAGAGATCAGAAAGAACTGCCGGAGGGTCAATAGCAAAGGCTGTTGATGAAGACTCTCATTCAATTTGATTGATTTTTTAACCTGTTGTTATTATGATGTTTGCGTAAATCATTCTTGTGCATTCTTTGAAATTGTGAGAATTGTATTTACCCTTTTTCCCGTTGTTGGGAAGCAAATGCGAAAGGTATCTTTACACCACTTGTATATGCGTTTCTAAAACGTATGATTTCTATGCTGTCAATAACGTCATATGTGTACAAGAGTTTCTCTCGACTTTAATTTAATTGGTCTCTCTTAGACTGGCAATAAACACTATCACAAAAACGATTTTAGAAGACAACCTCTCTGATTAATATATAGAGGAGAACACATCTAGGGATTGCCTGTGTAAATGGCTAGAAACATTCAAACAAATGCACGCCTCTAAATATCTTTTAAAGTGGCAAACGTCCTAAGGTAATTGCCTCTAAAATCACTATGAACAAGGTGGCCATTTTAAACGTCCATCTCTAAATATCGATTAGACGTGAGACATCTTAAGATGTCTGTCTCTCTAAAATAATTTTATCAAAAAATAATTCATAACTTTTTTTATATGAACTCGGATAAAGACAATTAAGTATCAAACATAGGGCTAACTTTTTATTTTGTATATTTCCCTTTTTTTACCTATTATGATGTTTTTTTTTAGAATTACCTATTATGATGTTGGCGCAAATCATTCTCGTGTCATTCTTTGAAATTGTGAGAATGTATGTATTACTAGGTAAATGCTCGTGCGTTGCAACGAAAACACATAATACCACGATAACATATGTATGAGTGTGTGTTATATGTTATCTAAAATAGATACCGCAATCATAATGTTCCTATCAATATTATATAAGTCTTCACGAAAGATAGATAGTTAAAATATAACTCTAAAATTGAATACAAAACTAAAACATCAACTTCAATTGTCGCATCACTTCATGGCTACGATACGCGAAAGATAAGCTTGCACTTCTTTAGGAATTAAGTGCTACGGAAAGATAATCACAACAAGTTTGTTTCACAATACATGTTTTAGAATCTATTATACAATTAAGAATCTAATATCTCAATAGTTCGACTAAGAGAACGTGCTTTGCACGAATACCAAGCTATAGTTGGTCACCAATCAATGATGATCCGTAAGATTTTCTAGTCCAAGATGCTATGTCTCGACTTCTTGCAATTTGAAGCACGCAGATAGTCAAGTCAGAAGTTAGAAGTATCCGCATATAAGCTCGCTTGTAAATTTTAAAGTTGAAGTCCCATTTGATATCTAAAAAATATATATCGACGGTGATGCATTACCTCTTTTATGGAGTTAGAACCTCTTTATATACGATATTCTTTTGTGAATATATCATTTGTCGCTTTCTTCTTAGGTTTAGGAGGGTTAGGATGGAGAATCGAACTTTCTTGTCTTCAAATAAAGTATTCTAAAAGGTTATCATACAAATAAAATTTTATTTGCTTATGCAATAAATAATCGTACCTCTTTTCAGTCTTCTTGGCGTAAATAAAACCTAATAAAATCGAATATCTTATATTCATTCTAAAATTCGTAAGCTTTGATGGCCTTTCTATTTGATTCTATTCAATAAGTTTGATGCGCTAAAAAATGGGGTACTCGCCTTATATTCTTTGTCGAAGCAAAGCATAACCTAAGTTCTTTGACTAACCCCTCTTCGTTTGTGATCTGTGATAGTCAATGACCGAGGCGTGGTTGTGGATAGGGATGCACATAGATGGCATCAGGATTTGATTGTTGTTTTTTTCCGTGATTTGTCCGATTTTCCTTGAAAGAAAAAATACCGTAGATCTTGGAGCGTTAGGGTGCATTAATAATCGGGCACAACAATGTCCTGCCGATGGTCGTTAACATTTCCTTATTGTTGATTTTTTCGTGATCTGTGCTTTCGGATTTGTCGAAAAGATAAGAATACCGCGATTGCATGTTGAAGCGGGGTGCACATGCATGCATCCATGCATGGAAAGACCCAAAGAAACCTGTGAGGAGGAGCACGGAATAGAGCCCAGGCAAGAGAGCAGCCATGCAAGGGTTGGAGGAATTTCCTTTTTCAAGGTCAGTAGTCATGGATCGCAAGAAGATTTTGCTCTCGCCGGATAGACGTTGACAATCCGTATGTTTTAGTTGTAGAGATAGAGATAGAGATAGAGAAGAGAAGAGAAGAGAAGAGAAGAGATAGAGACAGAGACAGAGATAGAGATGAGATTAGATTAGATCGTTGGAAGCTCTAAGTTTGATCATTGCAAATGCTAATGGCCGCTCGGCTGGGCCGGGGCAGCGCCACCACGGCAGCAGTTTTGTGGCCCCTAGCCCACTAGGGCACTGGGCCGCTGGCCCTGCCACGCGTCCACGCCTACCCCTCCAAATCGCACCAACGGATGTTTACTCTTCACCTGCACTTCAAATCGCGTGTAAAAAAAAATCTTGGACTAGGGCTGTCATCCCGCTCTATAAAGTGAGCCGAGTGGGAAGATTCTGAACCCCCTAGCGAGCACCGCAGAGGAAGGCGTCTTCAGCATCCGCCTCTCTACGACTCCAAAAGCTTTTACCCCTCCTCCCATTTCCCGCCGCCGCTCCACCCTACCGACGGCACCATGAGGGAGTGCATCTCGATCCACATCGGCCAGGCCGGTATCCAGGTTGCAAACGCGTGCTGGGAGCTTTACTGCCTCGAGCATGGCATTCAGGTACGGATCCGTTCATTTCCCCTTCCGTTCTTGCGCTGTAGCTGTGGATATGTGTTGGATCTATGTGTTCTTGGGGGGTTTTGTGCTCCAGATTTGGTGTATCTGAGTGGTGGGGGCAAATTATATTTAAAATGAGTTGTACTGTGTGCAGATCTGATAACTGCAAAAGTTCTGTTCGCGTAATTGTTGTTCATCTTGGTTGGTTCGTCATATCCTTCGTTAGATCTGAACAATGTAGCTCTTTATTTGAAAGGCACAGTTCCTTTGGTTCGGTTTATTTATATTGTATTATATAGATCTCCTAGTTTGGATCAGTTAATTTTAGCTACGTTGGCCATGTATTTGTTCGTAACTGTTCTATTCACATTTCTAGGTTGATTTACGTTAGATCTGTTAATACCGCAACAGAAATTTGAACTGTATGGAGCGAGTCAGTTAGGTTGTCTTAATTTAAGATTCGCCTCAAATCTGTTTGATTTGGGCTGGATCTAGTCGTTTATAGGATTCTGTAGGCAGTCATGGTTTCAAGTATGTGTCTAAAATGTTAGCAATATATGATCGATCAACGGAAGACAGGATGCTTGAAGCTAATGTGATCTGATAATTTTTTCTGCCTGTTGGCTTACCTTGTCATTCAGTTCTGCCATTTGTCCACGTTTTGGTTGCACATCATGCATAAACAGATCTAATAGCAGTAGAATGTATACTTTTGAGTGTGCCCTGTCTGGATGTTCTTCATGATTGCTCATATAATTTGTTTCTGAATGTGTTGTTGTGACATTAGCTTGTTTCTGATTTGTTGCAAATTTGTTGTAAATTTCTACTTCTAGATTCCTGCAGTTGAATTGTTCTTGTGGTTTCCATACCTAAGTACCTAATTCTGTTCTGTATGTTCGATTCAGGCTGATGGTCAGATGCCCAGTGATAAGACTGTTGGAGGAGGTGATGATGCTTTCAACACCTTCTTCAGTGAGACTGGTGCTGGGAAGCATGTCCCCCGTGCCGTGTTTGTTGATCTCGAGCCCACTGTGATTGATGAGGTGAGGACTGGCACTTACCGCCAGCTCTTCCACCCTGAGCAACTCATCAGTGGCAAGGAGGATGCTGCCAACAATTTTGCCCGTGGTCACTATACCAGTAAGTAATATGATCTTCAAGGGCATTATCCAATTGTGCATTCTGTAATGAACATATGACTTAACTTTGATGGTTGCTTGTCTTGCAGTTGGCAAGGAGATTGTTGACCTGTGCCTTGACCGCATCAGGAAGCTTGCTGACAACTGCACTGGTCTCCAGGGTTTCCTTGTCTTCAATGCAGTTGGTGGAGGAACTGGCTCTGGCCTTGGTTCTCTCCTCCTTGAGCGTCTGTCTGTTGACTATGGCAAGAAGTCCAAGCTTGGGTTCATTGTGTACCCTTCTCCTCAGGTGTCCACCTCGGTGGTTGAGCCATACAACAGCGTCCTGTCCACCCACTCGCTCCTTGAGCACACTGATGTTGTCGTGCTGCTTGACAATGAGGCAATCTATGACATCTGCCGCCGCTCCCTTGACATTGAGCGACCAACCTACACCAACCTCAACAAGCTTGTGTCTCAGGTACGTATCTTTTAGGGGGTGATTTGATCCTATGGGCTAACAATTAGCCATGGGTTTTGGATGCCAAACAGAAGTGCTAAACATGGACTAATTATGGGCTAATAAAAGCTAATGGGTTGTTAGAGCTCATTAGCTCTTACCAGCCCATGTTTATCCCATTATGACAAGATGGGCTAATTTTTAGCCCTGGGATCTAAACACTCCCTTAATCCATTATCATTGTGTTGTCTTGAAACTGGAGCATCTGAACCTGTCTCCAAAACTACTATGCTGCAGGTCATCTCATCTTTGACTGCCTCCCTGAGGTTTGATGGCGCTCTGAACGTTGATGTGAATGAGTTCCAGACCAACCTGGTGCCATACCCTAGGATCCACTTCATGCTTTCATCCTATGCCCCAGTGATCTCTGCTGAGAAGGCCTACCATGAGCAGCTGTTCGTGGCTGAAATCACCAACAGCGCCTTTGAACCATCTTCCATGATGGCCAAGTGTGACCCCTGCCATGGCAAGTACATGGCCTGCTGCCTCATGTACCGTGGAGATGTGGTGCCCAAGGATGTAAATGCTGTTGTGGCCACCATCAAGACAAAGCGCACCATCCAGTTTGTGGACTGGTGCCCGACTGGGTTCAAGTGTGGCATCAACTACCAGCCCCCCAGTGTGGTGCCTGGTGGCGACCTGGCCAAGGTACAGCGCGCTGTGTGCATGATATCCAACTCCACCAGCGTGGTGGAGGTGTTCTCACGCATTGATCACAAGTTCGACCTCATGTACGCCAAGCGAGCCTTTGTTCACTGGTACGTGGGTGAGGGCATGGAGGAGGGTGAGTTCTCTGAGGCCCGTGAGGACCTGGCAGCGCTTGAGAAGGATTATGAGGAGGTTGGTGCTGAGTTTGATGAGGGTGAGGATGGGGACGAGGGTGATGAGTACTAGACTATTGGTGCTGCTGCTTTTGGCCCGTCTAATGCTATTATCCTGTGAGCTTTGTGATCTACCATGCTATGTGTTGGTTTGAACTATCTGTCGATCGTGTGTGATGTACAACACCTGATGTTGTAAGACTTGAATGTTAAATTCCCTGCTTTGCTACTGGGTTATTATGAGCGTTATGGTCTGAAAAATGTTAGCTTGTGGTACCTCATTTTTTTTTACTGTGGTCTTTCTTGTCTTGAGTTTGGTCACATATGTGAATGTTTGGCTCCGGTCGTATGGACCTTGGGGATGCTTTATGCTAGCGTAGAACAGCTGCTAGCTGCTGCTGCTTCCGGTCTGCAAGCTTATTGCCTGCATGGTTACTCGGTGGGTAGTAGTCGTGCTTGGTACTGCTCCCTTTTCTAAATATGGCTTTGGTCGTTTCGCTGAAAAAATAAGCCGAAATACTGTTCCAGTTGATTTGTTA